GAATTCAATTACACTGTTGGTGAGGGTTGTTGCAGCGGAGATGGAATATTGTGAAATATTTTGTCCTTGTTTGAGATTCATTTTTGGAGGAATTGTATTTTAAAATTGTGAATTTTTTGGAGAACATGTAATTAAAAAATAGGAAAAAATTTTGGGGTTACAAGTAAAATTATTTTATTGAAAATATGTGGTTGAAAATGAACTTTGAAAAAAAATGATTTTTGAGAAAAAATGATGATTAAACAGGAACATCAAAAAATGAATTTTGGGGCCTCTCGTTCGAAAATCAAAAAAGTGATTTTATAATTTCAGGAACATAAAAGGGCTTATTATGCAAAAGAATTATCATTATTTTTCAATTGATCTTTGATTCATCAAATACTTATATTATGTCAAATAAACACAAGAAAGATAATCTTTTTAGACGTTGGGGTTTTTTAAAGGGGGTAGAAGTGTTTGTTACATGGCTATCTTTAGTGATCTCTCGAAGCATTGGTATTCATAATATTTGATATTTAATTTTGTTATTCTCAATCACCATAACACTCTTATTATTACTAATCGATGTCACGTGCGCTGTACGACTTTTGTATAAATTTTGTTTAGATTAGTGTACAAGGACTCAAAAATCCCTTGCATTTTTCGGGATAATTCTGATTATGATCTTCTTGTATTCTCTATTACAAACTTTATTTGATTATGATGAAACAATTTTAATAAACTTTGCAACAAGAAAAACATATGAAAATCGCACAGATAATTTCATCATGTATTCAAATTCCAACGCCTCTCCCGACAACTGATCATCAGAGAGAGTGATGAATGAAGTTAAGCCCAAGCAGCATACATTAACATGATATGAATCCTTAAGCAAGTCTCTCTGGCAGAAGGCGGAGGGAAAATAGAAAGAAACCTAAACAAGTGCATACCGTTTGAAATTAGCTCGTACTGCACTTTTTTTAATCTGTTCCAACTTTTGGAACCAAAGATTAAACATTTCTGTTGCAATGTTAAGCTTTTGCAGAACATTGAGCGCAGCAACCTGAAAAAAGAAATTGATCATCAAATGGCCAGGCCTCATTTTTCAAATGCTTGACAACAAGCAATCTCTCTCTATTAGTGACCTTGACAAATAAAATAGAGTAAAAAATGAAGCAAACAAGTAGCCATCAATGATAGCAGCTACGTTCTCAGTTACACAAATGTATCTAGTTAATGAACTTTGCAACGATATAGTAAAAGTATTAAGTGTAGGCAGTACACAAAATTATGATAATCCTACGGTGTATCAAGATTGTTTGAAAACAATCTCACTGGAACAAAAAATAGCATACCCCATATTTTGGAAATCACGATTAATATAGAGCCAGCTATAAAAACAATGCAATAGAGAAAAAAAGTTATTTATTGCTGCTGCAATCTAAACCACCAAGGGGTCGACCATCTCCCAGATGAAAGGTTGCCTTTCACCAGCAGTTTATCCAATCATGATTCATGATGAGTGAATGTTACATTTTAAAAAATAAAAGTCACCTTAATCAGATGTGAATGCAAAAATAAACAAGAAAGTCCAATGATGTCCAACAGAACTCTACGGTTAAAACAAATTGACTCCCTGAATCATGTCACACTCAATTACATAACACAAAGAGAAAACAAGAATGGAGAAAAGAAAAAAAACAATCCTAAAAAGGTATAATTAGAAAAGTTGAACAATTCTAAAGATGGGAACATATATGAATATATACGTTCTTCTAAATTTCTTCGCCATGCATTGCACTCCTCAGTCATAAGAGAAAAAATAGTGATAAATGGTAAAAGAATAAAGAGGTAAGTAAATTGGTATGCTACTCGTGTGCCCACACAACATTGAGTTCAAGTTGATGATAACCAGAACAAAATCAAATATGTTTCCAAAGACAATAGAGCTTTTTTTAATGAGACAAAATATACCTTTTTCCAATCACAATTATACTAATAACACCTCAACAGGGAGGGTGAAAAAGAGTGAAGAATTTGGGGCTGTATGATTTTTTATCTACAAGGAAAACGGTGGAAAAAATAGAAAATAATTGAGGAAATAATTTTTGTGGGCCACACTTGCTTAACTTCCCTCCAAAAAACTAATGCCACGTTGGAATAGTTGGGGTGTTATAATCGTGGTTGATGGTAGCATTTTTTCGGGAAGCGAATCGCAAGATAGGATTATCTTGATATCAACACAATTTTTGTATCATCACAATTTTCGTATCAAGAAATGAAGAAACTTGTAATAGGCATATCACAAATTTCAAATCTCAGCATAGATAATAAACTATGATTTTTGTCATGCAATTTAGAAGGGGGATAAGGAAACACCTTGACGGAAAATCAGAACAAAGTTACCCAAGTCTTTGCAAACAATCCATTTAAATAATTAAAGATAAATAGAAAAAGGTACACAATTATTCTGAAGTTAATATTCCAGTAAGCATTGAGAAGGCAGGTTTTCCAACGAACAATCCTTATATAAATAGAGGAAATTTCCTGGACGAAACATAATGTAGATATTATACGACAAGTTTCATTCTCGTATCCAGGGAAGTAGATAATTTATTCTTCATTAGCTGAGGCCTCATCAAATCCATTTACCAAACCAAATAATCAAAGAATGAGCCAAAGAGCTGAAATGCAGATAACATTTGTAAACCAAACCCCAAAGAAAGGACAAAGAAAAATGAATACCCAATGACAGAAGGATCTGATTCATGAAACAACCGCGTAAACCTTGCTTAATATTCCCAGAGCGAAGGAATGGACAAAATAGGCCAAAAGAAAATATAGCTTCAGCACCACATCCTAAACGACAAGAAGTTTATAACGATACAGTTCAATGCCAATTTAAAATATAAATTAGGGCACATAGAGAAATGTTCAAAGCAGGAAGAAACACGGAAAAATTGGAGCTTTACAACTTACAAGTTAGCACGACGAGTATAAACTCAGGAACAATTTTGCACGGAAAATTCTCATAGACTATTATCTTGCACGAAAAATTCCTGAGCAAGGAAAATTATTTTCATATTTCTTTTTTCTAATATCTTCCTAATTTGGTTGCATCAGCGTAGGAAACTCATAGATTATATAACTTTAAACTTGAAGCACTATCATTTCAATTGTGAGGTAGTTCACAAATTCCAACCATGAGAGACTGCAACCAAGCCAAGGACAGCAATTCACCAAAATCCTTGCTTTCAATTTTTCTACTATCAAATGTAGCCTTACTAACCAGTATATGAGAATAAGATAAGCACTCATAATTTGGGTAGAAGTAAGCTATAATCTTAAACAAGGCACAAAAAGAGTGAACCCAAAAATCATAATTTTTCTAGCTTCTGGAAGATGACGAATAACCAAAGCTCAAAACACATAAAGAGATTAAATCAAATAAAATAAAATAATTGATTAATGACTTTGGGGGAGGCATGTAATAGGAACTCTCATAAAAAGAACACAAGCGAAAGTATAAAATAAAATAGAATTAACAAGCTCGCAAATTGAATCCATATGCATACAGCAAACAGAAGAAAAAACTAACTGTAACCACACTCTCATAAACAAGAACCAAAAGTGCGTCTCAGTTTATGAATATGATATCAAACATAGGTAGAAGAAAAGAAATTGAAAAAAATCTCAGAACACCAATTTAACAATGCAGTTTATACATAATCCACCCAGAAAGCCCATACGCATACATAAGAAAGTTCTAAAAATTACACAATAAAATAAACAATATCAAGAATATCAAGATTTGATTTTTAAATGCAGAAGTGAACAATATTTCGAAACCCTAACTTTCAAATTGCCAGACATACAACCCCCGAATCAGGAATTGAAGTAGAAATTGAGAGCCTTAATATTTGGGTCCTTATTGAAGGATTTGTTTTTATTTCCAACAAATAGAAACCATAGGCTGTTTTAATTTGGTTAGGGAAAAAAAGTTGAACTCTGCGTCGTGCGGAAAGATCCATCTCTCCTTGCAGCTCGAGCATGAAATTCAAAATACCAGGGGCAATGACTCGCTGAACATTACTCTTTTCAACAAGAATTTCTATGGCTTTGATATAAAGGTCCGAAGAAAAAAAGAAAAAAAAGCATATTTTACGTGATGGGGTGATGTGGCTTATGAAAAAATGCAAAGTTAGCCGCCAATTTTTTAGCTCTCCCTTTTCAGCTCTTCCTGTAAGGAGAGAGGTCGGCAGAAGAAATTTCTAGGGTTTGTGCAAGGAATGAGTGGTTGTGGGTGAGAATTGTGAGAAATTGCAAGATAATAAATTTTAATTTCTTGAATGATGTCTCTTATACTCTCAAAACCAAAAAAAACCCCAAAAAAAAAAAAAAAAGTCTCTGCGCGTGCGGAGACACCACAGACAGACACGGACACAGTGTCTTCACGCATCGGAGACCTTTTTTTAGTTAAGATGTCTGGAATCAATTTTCAACATATAAAATTAAATTCATCAAAATAGAAAGACAAAATACACAACAAAGCAGTTAAAATTGAGTGACAATTGCCCCCTTTTCTTAACATAGTAGCGAAATTTGGAGGACATAAGAGTGAAATCTGGAAAAATGAACGGTAACATCACATTGCTTTACCGTTGCATCTACAGTGATTCCAAAACTGGATTTTTTATTATAGTAGGATAATTATTTTTTTGTTCTCTTGATTTCCCTCCCCATGAATTGATCTCGGGCTCCCGAGAATTATCGCTTTTGGACAATCTACTTGGATTGTGACAGTATACCGTTTGCCAAACAAAGAAATAAGGATGCTAGATTGCCTTTTCTTGTTGAAATGTAGGACGTGAAATTGTAAGGCAAGCTCGAGACAAGAAACTTCTTGATCTTTTTGCACGCACTTTACACGCTCTTCTATAATTTTCCAGTAATCAAAGCACTACAATTTTCACAAATGAACCTAACTTCTTGTTTGTTTTTTGTTTCGGAAGTGACAAAGTATGTTTGGGCTTCGGCGGGCTAGAGCGAATATAGATTGTCATGAGGTATGGTATGACAATATAAATCTAGACAAAAACAATCTATAAGGACTTACTTTGCCATAAATATGAAAATTAACAAAAACTTTACTGTCAATATTGTAGATCCCGGGAGTCATGACACAACACAAATAAAACGGCTAGGCTATAAAATCGATGTGCCAACGGGAGACGATGAATTTCTTCCTTTCTTTCGCATGTGCCTCTACAACTTTCAAGTAATTGCAATTTCTACAAATTGCCTAACTTTTTATTTGATTCGCAAGCGAGAAAGTGCACCTAAGTTTTGACGGGTACAACAAATCTAGGCTGTATTGGGAGTTGACACAACAAATGAGTGAGGAGATATTGATTTTTCTTTTTCTTTCCTTCTCTTTTATGTTTCCATGGTAAAATTATTCGTTTTTATTCATTTTATCTTATAAAACATTGATCTGCGCACCTTTCACATGCTTGCTCAAGGCCAAGCTAGACAATAATGACCGATTTTGAATAATGATATCTAGCATTAATAGTGTTGAACATTAGTCTATGTGTCAACATATCATATATCCTAATAAAAGATGTACAAATCCTAGTATTTAATTGAACCTATAATTAATGGTACCCACCGGAGGTGTTGAATAGCATTATTCACCCTTTTTGTTATAAAATGAAAATTAGCAGAACTTTATTGTCAATATTTAAAGATAGAGGACTTATCCGCACAAAACGCATAGATTGCGACATCTGCTTCAATTTTCCTTGGAAGGCTTGAACTTTACAAGTAACGCAGAATTCACTCATTCTTCCCCTTTTCACCATCTAACTTCGATCTTACTTCCATAGTGACTATTCCTCTCCTCTCTTTGCCCGTTTGTCCAGAGATCCCCATTTCCAAGTAAAATCTTTGCCTATCTGTTTCCCCCTCGTCGAATAAATATTCTTGATTTGAGCCTTGGGATTTAATTTTTACCCAAAGTTAATTTCTCCTTTAGGTTACATCTGTATTTTGTATGCAGTATATGTATTTATTGAATTTGTATTCTTGTAGAAAATTTATAGAATTGCTTTAAGTTGAACTCATTTTTTTATGATTAATGGTCTGGGTAAAGGTAGATTTTGGTGACATGACGAAGTAACAATTTTTGGAAGTAATTTTTCCGATCGAATAAGATATTTAAAGAAGCATATAGAATATTTACATTCACTTTTGATTATTCGAATACAAGAGAGAGGGTAGGAGTGTAGAGGAGGGTGCAGGGTGGTTTAAGAGTTATTTTTAGATGGAGTAGACCAGGGGAAGGTCCCATTCCTTCCCAGAAACGATCCGACCCTGAGAACGTAGAGTAGCTGATACAATTATGCATGATTTTATATTTTTACGATTGTTTTGTTTATTCCGATCTCAATAAAGAGAGAGAAAATATGTGATTGTCTTTGATATTCGCAAGTTCCAACAGAGTATAGGCTCTTGGAAATGTTGCAAAGCTAGAATTCCAAATGCTGAAGTATAACTAAATTTAAAGGAAATTAAGTCAGTTCTATTTTATAATAGGTAAATAGATAACGAAAAAGAATAAAAAGTTCACAAATTTGAGTTCCGTCTCATGTATGCTGGGTGATATTATTCTTTTGCTATAAATAGATAATGAAAAAGAATAAAAACTTTCTTAGCTTTTTTATTTCCCCGCAGGTCTAGCAGAGTCGAAATCTACCTTCCTCCCCATCCAGGAAATTACTGAGAATTGGAATTTAAGCAGCAGAAGTAAGATGTCAAGGTCTTACATTGGTGGGAAAGTAGTGGACAGTGTCGATTTTTTGCAGAAGAGGCAATGGGCATGGCGTTTGGATTTGTGGCCGTTTGCTATTATTTATGGTGTGTGGCTGGCGGCTATAGTCCCTAGCTTGGATGCTGGGGATGCCTTTATAGTTCTGGGCAGCCTTGTAGCTATACACATTCTCGTTTTCCTGTTCACTGTTTGGTCTGTGGACTTCAAATGCTTTGTTCAATACTCCAAGGTTCACTTCATATCCTAAAAATTACCGACTTCTAATATTTTCATTCTATTACTTTTTTCTAGCATTTAATTTGTCATCATTGGATTAAAAGATCTCTATTTGTCTGAATTTTAAAAAAATTGCTTGAAACTTGTGAGTAATTGTGAGTTGTGACTAAAAGTATATGAACAAAGCCTTGCTCTAGATCTAGGATTCTAGGCTCTAGTTCCAATGATTCATTTTGCATTTGAATTTCATGTTTTCTTTAGGAATTGAACAGTGGCTCTTACACCTCATTTTGGGTCCACTGGCACAGTGAAGATTGATCTAATTAAATAATTAATTTATGTATTTTCTCATCTCTCTAATTCTTAAGCAAGATCTTGTAATTAAACTTGTGTAGTTTCTCTTCCAATATTCCATGCATCTGGATTTATTAATCAAATTTTCATGTTTTACATGTCCGTAAATATTAACATTGTTAGTATTTGTAATGTTTATACAAGCATCATGATGAGGGGCGTATGTAGCCCAGGCCTTCCCCAGCCCATATATAAAATTAAGAGTAAAATGTAATTTTTTGGCCCAAATATTTGCGTTAGTCCAGCTGTAGCTTGAGTCCCAATCCAAGCCCAACGCTCAATTATCCAAAATTTTTAAAAGATTACAATTATAAAATATTCTTTTTATGACATTCATGCAACATGAATAGCTTATTACCAAATTAGTAATTTTATTTAATGCATGTTTAACTAAATTTACTTATGATTATATAAGTAAATTTCATAATAAACGATTTGTATTGATAGAGCTAAAAATAAATTCATTATTTTAATAGTAAGAGACACTACAAATTTGGCTAAGCTTAAAAGTAATTAATTTTTTGTTTCCACGTATGTTTTAATATATTACTTATTCATACTTATAAGAAAAATTACTTATTTTGACCATGAAATAAATGTTTTGATCAAAATAAATAACTTGCTCTAGATTTGATCTCATCAATAAAAAGAATACGTGTTAAAGCTTATTGAATTATAAACTAATTTGATTATAAATATATTCTTGCAGTTGGGCCAAACATGAATGTGAATTAAATCCAATTTCTTTAGACTCTCAGAATTCTTGTTCCGTTTTTTGATGGGATTCCTTACTAACTATGGAATGTGGTGGTATAGAAGACTGATCCCCACACCAAATATTATTTTGAGAACAATAACATATAATGTTTCATTGAGTTCATACACTCTTTGTCGTGAATGTTACGAGCTTAACCTTGTAAAATTTATCTCTTGTAGCATGAGTTCATTCATAATTTTTTTTAAATTTGAGCCCATCCTAATATCATTTTTTGGCTCTGCCTCTGATCGTGATGCAATGATTCACAGTGGAGTCGGTGAATTGAGCATCATAATTTCCTATCAAGGAGGTATCTTAGCCTCTCAAAGCACACCTCACTAATACATATTGCTACCTGCATACAATGTTACACGCTGCAGGAATTACATGACAAAATAATTTAGGACATTCCATCTTTAAAATGGCCGCTGATATGTTCCGACATATCAGGGCGCTTCTTATATGAAAGCTGATACTTTGGAATGTGCTTGTTAATTATTAATGTAACAGTCTAATGTCTTGATGATTTTATGTTCTTTTTCTGATTGTGTTTGTGCACATGTAACATGATTTACTAGTTAGTCTTTGGCTGAAAACATATAGCATTCTACTTTAAATATATCATTAAAAAAATATTTTTTGATCGCTTTATTTGGCAGGTTAATGATATACACCGCGCAGATACATGCAAAGTTACTCCAGCTAAATTTTGTGGCTCTAAGGAAATTGTTCCCCTTCACTTTCGGAAGGTTGGATACTTGATAGCTCTCTCTCTCTCTCTCTCTCTGCATGCATGCGTGTGCTTACTTTCCATACTAGTTCATACTGAATAATAATAATGATTTTGCATGTCTCTATAAGTAAATATGTCAATAGTTGAATGGAAGCTTGTAAAATAGTTGACTGTAATTGTATCATATAGGTCTCACACTGTTCCTATACACGCACAGTTTATGCACATCTATGCATACATCTACATCGAACAAAGATGTTTGTACATGTGCAAATTGTACTTGATGGCATTGAGGCCTGAGGGCATGGTTGCAAGTTTGAATGTACCTGCTGTCATGTTGTTTGAGAAGCAATTAAAAAATTCAATTGATTGAAGGTACTTATTCATCCAGTCCTTGTGGCCAAAAAATATAGAAACAAGCAATTGGATTGCCAACACGACAAAAATACGGAAAACGGTAACCATCTAACCATTCACGTTTCTCATCTCCTGTTTGCACAGGTCCCAGAGCGCCTAATTGTGTGCTTAATCAGTGTAGGGTGAGGGTAATTGTGAATCATATAGTTCCTTCTCGGACCCACCAACATATTCTCACAAGTGTGAACTGCACTTGGTTAAGATCTTCTCCAACATGAGCCTGTTTCCTGGGGCTTGGTGAACAATTCAAGTAATGTTGGCTTGAGATTCTATCAAGAAATAACAAACAAACAAATAAAATAAAGCCTACAGAAGACTTTGGTTTTACAATTTATATGCCAAATATCTCCAGTTATAGAAATTTTTGTTCACGATAAATATGTTGCTCATTTTTACACCATGGGTATATTAGATTTCAGTTTATCATTTACCTTCACAAATTTTGTTGCAACTTCCACTAGAAGTTTTCCTTGAACTATACTCTTCATGAAAAGATAAATGAAATATGAATAAAAATGTGGTAATTTTTGCCCAGATTATTAACTCAATTTAACTTATTTGTTTCCACAGTTGGCGGGTTCATCAAATTCAGTAGACGTGGAAGAGATTTATTTTGATTTCAGGAAGCAAAGGTTCATCTATTCAAAAGAGAAAAATACCTTTTGCAAACTTCCTTATCCTTCAAAAGAAAAAATTGGGTATTATATAAAAAATACTGGCTATGGCACTGAAGCTAAAGTTGTTGCTGCTGCTGAGAAATGGGGAAGGAATGTGTATGTTTCACCTCTTTTATTATTATTATTATCGTCATTGTCAATTATAATGTTGATGACTGTCATTTTTGATTTGAAAAAAATTCATTTGTGAGAATGGAGATATTAGATATCAATTCCATCAGTTTCCTCTAGCCTTCCTAGGGGAAAAAAAAAGGCAATAACATTTTATCTCTTTCCCAACGTTAGGTTTCCCTATTTCCTGTCTTTCAAATGGAAACCATCATTTTGTATGGTTGCTTGATTTACAAAAGAGTCATGTTCTTTATAATATAATACACTCGCCAGATAAATTAGAAGTTGGACGCGCCTCTCTCTTTCTTTGATCAATTATATTAGGAGACACATCTGCTTATATTTGAATCTGCTCAAGTGCTATTCATTTTTCTAAATTGAGTACACTAATGTTGCAAATTATATACTAGCTTTAGTTGACTGAAATTAGTTGTGCAATTCGGCAGTTAATATTGGTGCTGTCTTCTTGTACATGGCCATTGACAACTTCAAATTTTTGTCTGTGGATGTGATGCACTATGAAATTATGTTGAAATTAGTTGTATTTTTGTGTTCATCGTAACAACATCTTATTGACTCAGTATTCTAAATAAAATCTATGTTTATTAGAATTATTTAGTGGTATCTTTGCGAATTTTAATTATGTAGAGATATCCATGTTTTGTAATTGCTTCATTAACACATATCTGTCCTCCCTGTAAATTAATGCCGCTTAGTGGTAATGGAGATACCGTGTGTTTCAATTGTAGTAGCTTTAGTCTGCTCCTTATGTTGATCTTGATTCTGTAGATTTGAATATCCTCAGCCGACATTCTCAAAATTGATGAAAGAGCAAATCATGGAACCATTTTTTGTATTTCAGGTTTGTTGTCCTTCTGACTTGCCTTTTCATTTCATCTTGATACGTTTTGTTCAAATATGAGTTATACTGACACATATCTGTATCTATATATTCTATTTCTATCTGTGCATTAAACTCCAAACTTCAATTCTGATCACCTCATTTAGGTCTTCTGTGTGGGGCTATGGTGCTTAGATGAGTACTGGTATTACAGTCTCTTCACCCTATTCATGTTGTTCATGTTTGAGTCTACTATGGCAAAAAGCCGTTTGAAGACCTTAACCGAGCTTAGACGCGTAAAAGTGGATAGCCAGACTCTGATGGTGTATCGTTCTGGGAAGTATGTAATGCAAAAATGCGATAGAAACATTGTCCCTCATTTTATTTTTTCATGTTCTATTTTACGGAGGATTGAATTTTTGTGCATGACTGTTTAAATTTGGAATTTAGGTGGGTGAAACTATCAGGGACTGAACTTCTTCCTGGGGATGTTGTCTCAATTGGCCGTTCTACTAATCAGAGTGGAGAAGACAACTCTGTACCTGCAGATATGCTTATTTTAGCTGGGAGTGCTATCGTTAATGAAGCTATTTTAACTGGCGAGTCAACCCCGCAATGGAAGGTGGTATTCTATCCTTTTTTTTTTTGGGGAATAAGTTTCCATCATTATCCACATGACTTATAAAGCTTGTGTTATTGGTCTTATGATAAATCCCATGTGTCTTATTTCGATATGATTCATTCACGGGGTTAATATGGGGCACGCTCAAAATTGATATGCAGAATTGAAGATGGTTTTGAATTGTGATTTATTCTGTTGATCACACATAAGAAGTAAAGTATAATGCATGCTTTTAGCAAATTAGCAAGTAGCTTTTCACCAGGTTCAAGACCTGGGTTAGATTTATGTGCTGCTTAATTTCTGCATATTAGGACTAATGAGGACCAAAAAAAGACTTTGAACCAAGTCAATAGGCTTCTAAGAAAATGTCCCCTCCTTTATCTCTTGCCTCCAGGTGCCACAAAATGATTTTCTATATCTGCCTGAGCCTCATTTAGAGGTTTTTGAGCACCACACGTCAACTCCAATGAACCCCACCCAAGCGCTGTGATTTCAATACTGCTTAAGCAAATCTGGAAAACTTATTTGTTGAAGAAAGTGCAACTGCAACTGCAACTGAGTCTGATCTGGAACATCTTTGATGATGGTCATGATTTTGAAGCTATTATTTGCTTTATTCTTATCTAGAATTCTCATCTCAAAAATCAAGCAATTTTCAGGTTTCCGTAATGGGTAGAGGAATTGAAGAGAAACTGTCACCTAGACGAGATAAAGCAAATGTTCTTTTTGGTGGTACAAAGATATTGCAGCACACACCGGATAAGGTGATGTTGTTCTCCATTGCCTTTCACATGGGTATCTAGAGACACAAATTTTAACATTTCGTCCCACCCCCCTGTTTTTCCCTCGAGACAGACATTTCATTTGAAAACCCCTGATGGTGGCTGCCTAGCAGTTGTTCTACGAACTGGATTTGAAACGAGTCAAGGGAAACTGATGCGAACTATACTATTTTCTACCGAGAGAGTAATTTTTTATTTTTTTGGTGAATGATTTGATGCCAATTTATAGTATCTCTCTGTAATTCCTTTATGACGTTATGTTATATAGGTTACTGCTAACAGCTGGGAAAGTGGACTCTTTATTTTGTTCCTTGTAGTATTTGCTTTAATAGCTGCTGGATATGTTCTTAAGAAGGTAAAGATTCTGTATTTTATTAGGTTAAAATTTCAGATTTACTCAGAATTTGGCTATCGTAACAAAATGTGCTCTGATGTAGGGTCTAGAGGACCCAACAAGGAGTAAATACAAGCTATTTCTGAGTTGTTCATTAATCATTACCTCTGTGATTCCCCCTGAACTGCCAATGGAGCTATCAATAGCTGTTAATACGTCGTTGATTGCACTAGCGCGTCGTGGGATATACTGTACGGAACCATTTCGAATTCCATTTGCTGGGAAGGTGTGTGCAAAGTTTTGGATGATCTTGTATGATAATAGCTATTATATGCTTACATTATCGCCAGAGATAATTCTAATGGCGTTTTCTTTGTCTCATACCATTATTTGTCATTTAACTGAATGCAGAGTCTTTTTGTATGACATTATTTGTAATTCAGAATTATTTCAGGCAGGAGATATGATTTCCTGTTAACTTCTCTTTGATCATTTTGCTGCTTCCTCCCAGGGGTGGCAACTTTTTATTACACCCCCCTATCATTTGCCCATGCATGCTGGTGGTTCAGATTTTATATGGTTTATTTTGCTTAAAGTCAATATCATGGCTGGGACTCCATTAGATTACCTATAGTTACTTGACATTTTGTAGCATCAGAGTTGGAATCACAGTGACCCATTATATCTGTTACAAAAGATGTCCTCTCTTCTTGAATTCTTTTCATTCTATAAAACAATATGTGCAGTAATAAGCGAACCTTGACAGAGTTTGTTTGAAAACCAAAACGTTAATTATGATACAGGGGGTTGAGCCATGTTAAGATGCTATGCTTTAACCGATAAGGTTTCTTTGATTTAGCAAGTTGCAACTCGCAAGAATAGAAAACTTTCATTCTTTGCTTTTTAATGTCTGTGACCTCTGTAAAGTACTGCTTTTCTTTTTATCAGCGGTGTTGCTAACTTGCGGATTACCTGTTGTAAATCAGATTCTTAATGTTTCTTTAAATGGAGATCAAACCAACCTTGATATGTAGTTGGGCTGGATCCAGTGTTGATTTTACGATTCTTACAATCATGTAATTGTCTAACTCTCAATCTGTGGCATTCTGAATGAATGTAAAACATTTCCAGCTGTATCTGAAATCTAATATATACATGTTAAGTGGTGTTCTCTTGGTTTATAGAAAAGCAGGCCTTAATTACATCGCTCCTCTTCTGTTGAATATATGCTTAATTGAAGTATTTTTACTGATGAATAATGTTACCCAAAACATCAATTTTAGCAAGCCATTGACTATATGAACTCTACTCCTGTTGATTCCATTCTGACGGTACTATTTACATGTACATTTTAAACGAGTTGTTCCTGGAGCTTCTTTTATCTTCTCTGGTAGCATCTAATGGATTTTCCCCATCACTTGCAGTGTTTTTAATATTTTACAATGTTACAACGTGATTTCAAAATTTATATAATCAATAAAATGAAGAAGGGAAATAAATATATAAGCTTGTAGTTTAAATATTCATTTTACGGTATTTTTCTACATTATCCGATCTTTACCCTCCCGCAGGTTGATATATGCTGTTTTGATAAGACTGGAACATTAACATCTGATGACATGGTATTGCAACTCTTTAAGTTCCGATATATTATTCTAGTTCAAGAATTACCTTTTATGGTGATGTTTTATGCTCTGCTATTCAGGAATTTTCTGGAGTTGGCGGTTTGACGGCCAATGAGGACCTAGAAACAGATATCTCTAAATTGCCTACGCGTACTTTGGAAATTCTTGCTTCTTGTCATGCACTGGTTTTTGTGGACAACAAGCTGGTATAATTTTTTATCACCGGACAAAAGTTGATGCTTATGAACTACTCCACGCTGTTATCTATTTATTTATTTTTGCGGTGTAGAAGCATTCCTTTTTGCTTTCTTCTTCCCATGGAATCAGCATTCCATCAGTGTCAAAGTGTATTTCTTCCCCTCACATTTTTCAGTGTCAGCCTATTTCCTGGTTTTCATAAAGCTCCAGATAATCTGAAGTTAATCAAAATCTCCTTCCAAGAGAAAATAACCACCACTTTATCTGATCGCTCGTTCTTCTGGTGTACACGGGGGTGGAAGGAAGTTGAAACAGCAAACCTTCTTGTGCTACACTAGTGACTCCTTAATTACTATTTACAGATTTGTTTAATGAGGACCAAGTTGGATAGAAAAAATGAAAAAAATATCACCGCTTACTAATTGTATGTAGAATAACCTCCTTTTCATGGAGATTTCCAAAGCACCTCATCTTCTTCATCACCCTCTACTCCAAGTCCAACCCTGCATCTCCCCTTCCCCCACTTGCCCGCACCTTCCAGCTCACTGCATTATAATTGTTGAGGCCACACAGAAAGGAGTGATATATATTCAGTAGCATATCTGCAAACTTGAGTACAAAGGCACGAGTGAGTGTGATAGTGATAAAGTTTCCTAGAAAATGAATAAAAATTTATACATATTATTAAATCATTTAAGTGAAAGTTTTAACCAGAAGAATAGTGCCTGAAGTATTGCCAATACAAATAAAAGGCTGCCCTACCCCTTTTGAAAAATCCAGGCAGCAAAAAATGGTCCCTGCCTGCACAACGTATCTCCAAACATCAATATGCAATATAAGAACCAACGCAACTCATAAATAGAAGATAATGAAAAAGAATGGAGCCTCACATTAATGCATATTGCACCTTTCTCAAATTTTCATCCAAAAACTTCTCTATGTGAATTCATTTGGAAGGTCAGTCCTTTGCTGCATTCCCCCTTCCCTCCCTGGCCCGATCCCTCAGCCCATCTGATACTCCAGAGATCCTCAGTAACAGGGGCCTTGGGGGAAAGGCAGCTGGGGTATGGGGTGGTGGGTGGGGATGACTTTTGAAGACGAAAGCGATTTATAATAAGGTCAAATTACTCATTTGATATATAAAGAAGGCCTTTTAATCGTAGAAATTTTAGTAAACATTTTTTTGCTCAAGCATTACAAGAGGGTTATTCTGAAAAAATTTTCATTGCAGTTTGCAGCCTATGACAATTTTTTGTTGATTTAACCATGAATGATGAAGGTAGTCTACTAGATCAATAGTAGTATATGTAATATGAGTGTGCCTCTGAGTTATTCTCTGGAAAATATAGTCGATTCCCTCTTCAAACGCATTATTTTGGCAACAGCATTAGTTGGAAGGTGAGAGACTCCCTATCATCTCCCACAGCTTTGAAGGTTCAGTTACATATATTCTTGGCAAATCTGTATGGACTATTCGTCTTCTAATACCAGTTTCTTCTTGTTTCTTTTAATAGCCCTTACCATGTTCATTGAAATTCCTGGCAGAGAACAAATATCTTTTGAGGTTGTCCCTCTTTGAGTGGTACTTAAAACTCTCGTGTTTTACAGTAGTTTTTCTCAACATCTGGATGTAGGTTGGTGATCCTCTTGAGAAGGCTGCTTTGAAAGGTATTGACTGGAGCTACAAATCAGATGAGAAGTCCATGCCAAAGAAGTATGCTACAACATTTGTTGTTTTTTTACATGTTTAAATGTGATTGATTGAACTTTGTTTAACTTTTCATGTATCTCTATAGTTGCATTACAAACGTTAAATGTCCTTGTTTCTTGTCTCCCCATTCTTCGTTTCTCTGAGAGTAGTTTGTCAGAGCATTTTTGCCTCTAGAAAAAACATGTTGCTTGTTCAGGCTCTAGAGGAGAGTGTAAGTGAGAGAGAGCCTTTACTAAATCAAGGTCAAAGTTTGTCTAATCTAAAACAAGCAGACATTGTGCCTTCCACTATTGCACAGTGTTTTATGGAAAACCCAATTAGAGAGAGAAATATAACGTTCTATTTCAGGTTTAAATGGGATCTATTGCATAATACTTTTTCCTACCGTCAGTCAATGTTGTGGTTATTAGGACTTCTTTTTTCTAACTTGTATTTAAGTATATATATCCTTGAAGAATAAGTATATTAAAACTTTCTTTTTATAATGTCTGTATGACACTGATGGATTTGTACTCAAATCAATTGGGAGAGCAAATACATACTGTGCCGTGTTTGTGCCTCGTTTGGAAAGAGATGCCGAATTATGCATTACTAATTACAAAGTGGTCCTTTGGGCCTTCATGATGGTGTTTTCTTTGGTTTGGGCACTGGGAGGAGTCAAGTGTTTCATACTGGGACATTCTGTTTAGATTTGATGGTGTAACTTCGCTGTATGATAGACTAATCATATTTATTTCTTTATTCACAAACATTAATATTTTTATAAATAGTTAAAAGTTGTAAGTTTTAAGGTTATGGCTTTTGGCTTTCATTAATTGGAATTAGTTCAGATATGCAAAATTGATCTAGAATGCTATAATTTCAATCTTGCTTTTGATGCAAAAGACAAAAGATACTGCAGAGAGGTGTGTTACATTAATTAATGAATAGCATATAATTTCCCCCCTTTTTTGGGGAGAAGAGGATGGTAGGAGAAATTATGGTAAACGCTTCATGATTTTTTATACTGTGGAATCTGTACAGGGGAGTAAATAATACCAATTATATTTGCAAGATGCCTATTGTGCTTTTTTCCCAAATTGTTTATGATCCGATCTTGAAAATTTACAAGTTTATATTTATCTAATTGATCTATTGTTAGTTAAATGTCTGGGGGATCCCTGTGTTCCAATTTTTCACTTAGTTCAACAAATGCAGGGGAGGTGGGAATGCTGTACAGATTGTGCAGAGACACCACTTTGCTTCTCACTTAAAAAGAATGGGAGTTGTCGTTCGCGTTCAGGAGCAATTCTTTGCTTTTGTGAAGGTTTAGCCTTACATTTTGTTTCTTATTGCATTATTGATTTAGGTTGATGTAGAAAATACAAATTTAACCTAGATATATCCAAATGTTTGAAATATTATTTTGGCTTCTTAATACAGTTTTTTTAAATCGATAAATTCCTAATCGTTGAGGTCATGTACTTTTTCCAAGATACAATTTGAATGATATATTTGTGAATTGTTTGGTCTGTGATTCCATATGACGAATTATCACTAGGACACAGATGACTGTAATAATGCTACTGATTGTTCAATACAACTTATAAACAAAGACGCTACATGAAACTTAAAATTTAAATCACATTGAGAATTTGTCCAAGAGACGGTCTCACATTTTTCAATCAGAATAATGCCAGAGTAGTGCTGAATGGGCTAAAGCTATCGGAAACAGATGTCCTTTGCTGGCTTGGAGTTGGCCTATTTTACAATATTACAGTCAACTCAATTTTTTATGCCTCTCAATTCAGCTTGTATGAAAATGGGTTGTATGCCTAGGTTAAACATGGAGTCTGACTGCTTTTCTTCTCACCGTTTTTTGTGTATGAGTAAACATACCCAACATTTACCAGTATATATTTGCACCCATCTTTTTCTTCTCTTGAATTGATCATCATTTAATCTCGACTTAGATATACATATATTATTGACATGTGCTCATATAGTTTATGTTTCATTTTTAAGGTCTTATACTATATGGTCGTTTTTGAACAAGTGCTATTTTGGGTTCCTTCTCATGCAGTGAAACGATTTTTGAATTTTCACTATGTTTCCTGAATAGGCTCCTGCGAGTATTTTTTATTGGCCCCTGGACTTTTGATCCGATGATGACAGGAAAATTATTGTGTATCTAATTTGTTCTAATTGGTTTAATTTTTATTATGTTTTCTTCTTTGATTTTACCGAATTTCATTGATTTTTTATTTATTTTTGAGCTGTGAAATTGCAGGGTGCGCCAGAAACTATTCAGGAAAGACTTGTTGATGTGCCAGCGTTCTACATGAAGACCTACAAGAAGCACACACGTCAAGGATCTCGTGTCCTGGCATTGGCCTACAAGTCTCTTCCAGAGATGACAGTAAGAATGCCCTGTTGGAACATTTTATCCTCACAGTATTCATCTTTTCTACCATTTCATAAATCTACATCTACATTGTTAATTTTCAATCTAGCATACATGTAGATGACAGCTATTTATCTCTAAGGAACGGTTATGGGGAACACCTCTTTACCTGTATCTTGCATTTATTTGGTTTCTTCATTTTTCACCCGGACTTTGTTTGTACCTATTAATACTGCATCAATAGATAAACTGGTAAACCGCAATATAGCCTATGGTCTTGGATTTTTCCTTTTAAATGTTATATGACCACATCAATAAACAGGCCATTTATGTAGTCACTTATCCTCCCAAGGCATGTTTGGTAGGAAAGAAGTTGGGTAAAAGGAAAAGGCAGAGTGGGAAGTGTACTGGAAGTTGGGTTGGAAGGATCATAGAATGGGGTGGAAAGAGAATCTCTTATTTAGTTAAAGTAACTTGTTGCAAAATTTTAATTGAATTTCAGATATTTTTTACAATTATAATCCAAGGAGAGGGACAGTAGTTTTCCTAACAAGGGATGCAATTGAACTTCCTCCCATTCTTCCCATTTCCACTTAAAGGTTACTGTAATCTTTTGTGGTAGTCAATTGATATACTGTTGTATATTATCTACTTAATGACCTTGTATAAACTACGAGACCTTGTTCAGTAGTTTTTTTTATTTAAAATGACAGCACAATGAGTTATATTGTTACATCTCTTTTGTTTGTATAATTTGCAAGTCCTGATTTCTTTGTAATCGAGCATGGCCTCAATTGCATATTCTTCTATGGGATGACATCCAGAGTGATGTAGTACATCACAACTACAATTGATAGTTTCCCTTTATCTAGGAGTTTGTCTTTTTTTAACTTA